ACAAAACAGACGTAGAGATCTAGTTCAGTGGCTTCCATTAGCAACGTGAAATCTAACAGACAGCAATTAGCTACAGCTGCCTGTGTCAGGACACCACGCCCTTAAATCCAATATCCAGGTGAATGAAACCATGTAAACAGATGATGTAAAGATGGAAGTAGCTTCCACGTCTGTATTCTCTTTAAAGGCCAACAGGGGGCGACTCTTCTGCTTAAAAAAGTGATTTCTGTTTTTATACATAGTGACTTTGATAACAAAGTCACAATTTGAAAAGCTGCGAACACTGCACACTCAAATCTCTCAACTCTTAGAACCACAACATCAATACACAGTGAAGTGATGGTGTGATGTCTGTCTATCATACAGTTTATGGTGTCCTTCAGCCACCTGTAGACTTTTTAGACAGGTAGGAAACTATCTGCAGAGGCTATAACCTCTGCAGATAAAACACTTTTGTTGTAAAGTTGGAGATTTTAACCACAGACCAGATAAAAGAAGCTCCATGGAGCATCGTGGTGGGTTTCCTTTGTTCTTTTTAGCCAGAAGTTACCTGATATGGACGAATGGCTGGAGTGTTAATTTATCGACTAACGCAAGCATTCATAAACTGTCTGGGTAACTTAGGTAGAGGATTAATACAATGCTAGGATTTCACTCACTAAAACTGAAGCACGCAGATAATTCAATACAAAAATGATTTCAAAGGCACTAACACCATAAATATAGTGAGAAAGTCCAGTTTTAGGATTCAAAGTAGTGAAGATGAAAACAAGAAATTGCTAATCGGCTCCAGCTGCCTGTCAATGAATGTGGCCACGCCTCTAAGGCAATTATCTAGGTGAAGGAGTGATATTAAGAAGGTGCCTTTATGGATAGGATTAACCTGTCTGTAAAGGCCAAAACCATTTGTGGTACCACCTGTAAATGTGCTTGATATGGGTTAAATATGTAAATTCGGGTGGGGGACTCACTCTGGAGCCAGCCTCAAGTGGCCACTACAGGAACTGCATGTTTTGGCATTTTAACTCAGACTGTTCTTTAGCTCTGGAGGTTGCTGCTTGGTTTCATTGCATCCAAAAATGTTTCCTCTGGTTATTAAAGGTGTGTTGCGCTTAAATGAATAAAGCTTCTAAATAAAAAAAAAGCAAGGAGCATAAACAACAAATAACAAAACAAAAAATTAAAAAACAAAAAACAATCCCAGAGTCACACCAGCCTCCCTACTGCCAGATCTTGGCCTCTGTGTATGTGTGTGTGTGTATGTGTGTGTGTGTGTGTGTGGGGGGGGGGGGGGAGTAGGCCACAGTGACAGCTGAAGGTGATTTGTGTTTCAGCCACCCTACTCTCACTATCCACACCCCCTCACCCACACACCCACAGAACAGTCAGTACCGTCTCTATAGGGACTGTGTGCATTGAGTAAAACATGAGCTACCAGCTCAATGAGAAGCAAAACAATTCTCACACTTGGGGGGCAATACACTGCTGCTGTATTAATAAATCATTTATTTTCATGGACTTTCTTTAGTCTTTCTTTTTCTACAAAGTCTATGCATAACAACTTTTCACAAAATACCACAGTTATTTGACTAAAATAAATAAATACTCCAAAGCAAAAAGCCACTTGATCCATTTACAAATATTTTCACCAAGCTTAAAATGTTGTTTTTTCCAATCCAGACGTGATGTATTACAGACATTAGCGACGGACAATGCTAAATTTGCTACTGGTAAAAATACACGAATAAAGATAAAATAATATTTAGAGCCTAGAGCATTTCAGGTGTGTCTCTGACACTTAACTTAGATCCAGCAGCACTTTGAGTTAAATTCTAACATAAAGGTCCTAAACCAATAGAAATGACTCTGCTCCGTGACGTTTACATGTAACTTCTGTCACCAACATGGCACGCCTACAACATGGCACGCCCTCTCTGTATTTACCATTACATTTTAAGTAAAGACATGTTTTTAAGGGGAAGCTATTGAGCTTTTTCTTATACTCTGTCCTTTCAATTTCATATTATAAGGTAAACAAAAGCGCCAATGGTTACTATGTCAATATATGAGTCTGAAGCATGCAAAGCTACTCTAGTAGCAGCATTTGAGCAAAAATATGGCGCTGTAAATGAGTCTTTTAAGGTAAGAGTATAGGTTTTCTGTGCTAAAGCTTTGAATAAAAATTCTGAGGAAGATGCAAAATTTTTCATGAACTTCAACATAAAATAAAGTAAATGAGAGATTGTACGGCGTTTGTAATATTTCTGTAGCTTCGCTATTCGTGGAAAAAGAAGATACTGACGGCAGTGCTGCCGGCTCTGTACCCAGGAAAATATGTGCCGGCTGCTCAACATTTCAGAAGAAGTTGCCAGATGATATCATGCTCTGTTTTGAATTTGTTGTGTCAGTCTTGTGAGCTGCCCCTGTTTGGAGACACGAGGGCAAAAGAGCTTTAATTGTCAAAACAATACAGTGAACAGTGGCTGGTTTCCAGAACAAGCTAGGAGATGGTGTACTTTGGATCAAAGGTTAGAGAAAGCGCCTGAACCGAGGTGGAGGACTGGAAATTCAGGGTGAGGTCAAAAGTCAAAGTAGCAGGCTTCTATGCCTCTCTTTCTCTGCCTCGCTCTATAGAGTAAACACTTCTGTATATCTTCAGAGTATTGTCTGGAGCTGACAGCAGCCACAAAGAGGTGTAGTGTTTTCTGCCATGTGTCATGTGGGAGAGAGAGAGATAAAGAGAAACGGGAATAGAGGGAGGAAGGACGGAAGGGAAACAGGAATACTAATGTCCACCGATTTCAGGGTTGGTAATTTGAGACTTTTTCTCTAAAAGATGCAGATCAACACAAGCACGAACGCAAACATATATATACATTAACTCTACTGTGTGAATGGAAACATAACATTGGTCGGGACCTTCAGCAAAGTAGATGAAGCAGATGATGCTTTTTATAGACAGTGAATGGAGGTGGCTACTGTCACATCGCCCATTAAGTTTGTGAAGTCTCATTTTCAAGCCTCAAGATGGCTGTTTTCGCCATCACTATCTTGGTGTTTTGAAAGCTGATACCAAAAGCAAAGGGTGGATCTCATTGGCTAACGGCTTGTGCCACTGTCATGATGTTTGAAGTGCAAATATAAATGCAAATGCAAGAAGTGCAACGCTATCAGTGGACCAGAAAAGAGCAGGATGATGAGAAGACTCTAATATTATGCCCCTCGTTAGCACACGCCCTCTGTAAAGCACCTACCCGTTCCAAAATGCACTTTTTTATCTTTTCAGGGATTATATGTTCTAGAACAAAATGTGAAAATGTGTCAAGCTGGTGCTAAACACAGACCCCGCTTCAGGCACCTAACCAAAAACCAGCACAAATGGACCTGGCAGTACAAAAACACTTCAGGCACTCTGCGCTCGACTGCAGATATTTCCTGTGTGTACATACAGAGAACCTCCAGCGTCTGCTGCATAACCCACATTATGATAAGGCTGTTCATAAAGGGTTAATGAGATGTAGTTAATGCTTTATAAATGGTTAAAAGACTTTTGCTTAGACACCAATAGGAAGACACTGATAGGAGGTAATTTGGGACAACTGTGGAAAATCTCAGCACAAAACCAGTGAACCACAGTTTATTTTGTCGTCCATTTTTCCTCCAAGTCACAGAAACTTGATTCTGTTCATCTGGTTGGAAAGTTTTTAGTGTCAAAAACGTCTTCAATGACTTCCTCAACATCATCTGATGTTGCAACAGTACAGTTGCACCACGATCTCAGTTTCATATTTGTTAATCCTGTCGTGACCATTAATAAATGGCCGTGAGTTCCATTCACAGAGTTGGGAAATGGCTGCAATCACAGCATTGTAAGATGGTGAAAGATGTGCCCTTAGACCCCCTCAGAGATGGGAAGAAAATCTAAAATTACATGAAGTATTGCACTGAGTCACTTTGCAGTCATCTGGCTCAAACAGACTAAATGAAGTCTGGTGTAAAAATGTTTCCCACAATTCCAAACGAATGTTTAAATATTAGGAAAAAAACATGGTGAAAAATATCAGGATACAGTCACATAATCAGCTGTCTTGTTGGTTCTGGCTGATGATTGGCTGTTGTGTGACGTGCACTCACTAAAGTTGAAGGAATGTGAGAAGTGCTGAGCAGTTTAGTTATTTCTTTGTTTCCTTGTCTCTGAATGAAAATTCACCGCTAACATTCCTGGAGATGACATGGGAAGTGCTCAAAGCGTTTCCTAAACTGTGCGTTGGTTTCCAAGTTCGTGCCGCTCTTGAAAATTAAACAGTTAAGTGGAAAACAAGGGTAAAAATTGGACTGTCACAGCACTTTACATGCTGAGCTTCTCATGTATTAGAAAACTACAGTTTTATTGAGTCCAACTATTGAGCCACTTTGTTGCATTGAAATAAAACTTTTTACATAGCTTTATATATTTATTATATATTATATATATTTATTTATATATTTTTATTATTTTTTATTTTTTTAGCCTTTAACCCACTGAATCTGATTTCTTTTTTTCTATTAGGTATCAATACCTTAATGACCTATTACTGCCTTATTTCAACTATTTTGTTAGAAGTAGTACCGGTATTTAATATTTTGGCAGCTGTGTTACAGGAAATTCCAAACTTTTAGAATAAATAAATTCAATCCCAGCCTATCTTATCTTATCCTTATCCTGCCTATCAGTAGTTGCACTTGCACAAGCAAGTGAAAGCTCAGCATGCATTTATATTGAGGTTTGGCACATTTAAATTAATGCACACAGTACGTTTAAAAAATGTTTAATTAATAAATGAACTGAAACAAACTATACCCTCATCCAGACATAGATTGCAGGAGTGAAATGAGCTTATTTCTAAGGGTCTGACGTGTGTTTGAAGCTGTAGGCTCCAGGCTGCTGCCTCAGCTCGACTCTTCAGTTCAGAAGTTGCATATCCATAAACTCCTGGAACCTTTCATGAATGAAAACTCACCGGTAACATTCCTGCTGCTCGCTGCGATGCTGCACCCGTCCCGCTGGAAAAACAACTTTCTCCTCCTTATTTTCCTCTTCTCTCCCCTCTGCGCGTGCTTTTTCTGCCTTTTACCTTTGCTTCGGGACAGTTTTCCATAAATCCGAGCCCTTTTCCTTTTTTCGTCTCTCCCTGCCAGACATCCAGATGCTTGGGAAACCTAAAACTCCAGCTCCTCTCTACTCCTCAGTCCCTCCCTCTTCCTTCCTTCCTTCCTTCCTTCCTCCCTCCCTCTCTCTCTCTCTCTCTCTCTCTCTCTCCAGGGGGAAATGCAGCTGGATGTTTTTATAAACTTGAATCACCCTTAAAATCTCACTAATTGCATCCTTTGATCAGCTGTGGGCGGTCGTCCGGTTTGGTTTGCGGGGTGAACTGGGTCGCCGTCCTGATCATCCCTCCCATCTGACCCCTGCTCTCCTCCTCCTCTTCCTCCTCTTCTAGTAGTCCTGTAGTAAAAATCGGTGGCTGAACAATCGTTAAAGTAAAGCTTCATATCATTTTGCGTTAATTCATCTGATTTCTGAGTGCGAGCGCCCTCTGTCGGCCTCATGAGCAACAAAAAAAGTTTCACACTACAGAGTGCCTTCTGCCTTGTTCCTGCAAACTCGCCTAACTACGCAGAATATGTGGAGGTATATTCACGGTGACTCGGACTTTTCAGTGCCTGTATTTCCACTGAACGTACAGTGCTGAATGAAGCACTGTGGTACTTAAAAGTACTCACATTAAACCGTAAAATACTGTTATAGCTGGTTTAGCTGAGCTTTAACTTGAACTGAAGTAAAAATACTTCTCAAAGCCAGTGTCATCATTATAAGAAACGCTTGTTTGGGAAGGTATTGTAAAGTATTTTCTAACTTTAATTTTAGTGATCACCAGAACATTAAAACTGCATGTAAAGAACCACCAGTCAAATTAAATTTTTTGTTTTAAGCTTAGGTATTCTAGGTTTCTGCTATAAAATAAGCCTTTAAAAGGTTTATCTCTTTCTTACAATGTCTCTGCTTTATTAGTCAAAACAAAATTATTTACTTCTTCATGTTTACGCTATAAAATGTGTGATGGGCTCAACACTTCAAAGTTGAGTCTGAGATGGAACTATACGAGTAAATTTGCAGATATATGTACTATGGCATATAGCGTAAAGTTTTCTAGCTGAGAGCAGAAATATGGCAGAAACCTGGATTTAAAATGAACCAATCAGGATTCAGTTGGCATGTAGACCCAGAAACCATGCCTGTCTGACAGAAAGTGATGTAGGCTTCAGATCTTTTGGCCTTTTATTTAATTTCTTCTCTCTGATTTCATCTTAATCTGATTTTCAACCATTAAAAGAACTTCTGGCTCCATTTCTTTTTCTGCTCTTGCGGCTGATGAATCGCTTGTGTTTTCTTTCATCTTCACAGTAGGTGTGCATCAAGATATGCCTGCCACCTGAAGAGTGTTCTAGCTTGGTTGCTCTGAAAAGGGTTATTTATTGATTTTTCAGTCATGGAAAGGATCCTGCGATCATCCACTAGAGCCATCTTCTGTGCACATGTAGCCACTTTTAGTCAAACCGCTGACTTGGTGGCTCTTGTTGCTGCAGCCCAACGATGGCTGGTTTCACATTTCTCCTTTGATCACACTTTGGTGTCGGTTCAACATCAAAATACCAGATGCCCTGCTTGGAAGAGAAGCCAGACTGTTTAATTAATTAATGTAAGAAATAACATGTCCATTATACACCTCGGGAGTCAGTTTTCCTGGTCCTTTGAAAGAGAGTACATGGATACAGAATAAAGAGTCTCAATTGCTAAGTCTGAAAGCTGAGATTCTTTAAGCTCATTCTGCAGACCTAACCAAAAAAAATAAAAATATTTAGGTAAACAGTTTTACAGCATCAATTAAAATATTGAATAAACTTTACAGTTTTGCAAAATTGTAATTTTTTATAACAGCAGAATTGTTGGGCAAGATTTTTTTTTCAATCCAAGATCCATCTTAAATTTCCCATCCCCTTTCAAAATTAAACGGGAAGAAGGAAAAACGACGACATAGGACGCCGTGGACTCGCACACAGAGTTTATATAGCTTACACTGAGCTTAGAGATGCTCAGCTGCCATAAATTCAGCAGATTATCACAGAGCTGTCCTCTGCTGCCAAGGACGATTTGTCTGCCCGTGTATGTATTTATGTCCTCAATGAGCCATGATGCTCATTTTAAAGTCATAAACGACTAAATTACTGCCCTAAGTTCATTGAAATGCTTCCTCTGACACGCTGTAGGCCTTTATCAACTAAAACCTGTTATTACTGTGATGTGGTCAATCACTTGTAAACAGAAATTACCTTCATGTTCAAAGCTTTAAATGCATTTGAAGGTTTACAAAGTGCAGCTTGTGGTTTTTCTTTTAAATCTCAGTGAAAATTACTTAATTATTTTTATTTATTTATGTTTTTTAAATCCTGTCTGGCAGCTTTTGCAATCAGAATTATGATCTGAGCCAAACATATTTTGCTTTTCCAAGATTAGCTCTATAAATTCTCTATAGGCTCCTCTTGTACCACATTATATGTGGTACACAGTATGACAATGTCTAAGCTAGGACAGGCAGAGTGTGTGCGTGTGTGTGTGAGAGACAGAAAGAGACAGAGTGTGAGTGTGTATTTGTTATGAAACATACTTGGGAATGAAGGTGGGAAGCTGTAATAGCGTAATAGCGTCCCCCAGGAGCCAGAGGCAGGAAGAGATGGGTCCGGGAGAACTGGGCCATCCGCAGCCCCCAAGAGTACTAAAGACGCAAGGCCACACGTCTCTGCGCGCTCATCCCATCAGGAGGAGGGAGGTCCCAGATGGGGCGCCCACACCAAGGAGTGGTAGTCCCAGAGGAGACAGGCAGTCAACCCTGGTAAAGGCCACCCACCCCGGTGCGAGCAGAGGGTCCCAGCGCTCCAGGCACGCGAGAACCACCACAGCTCCAGTGTTCAAATTGTAGGATCCATGCTTTCATGTTGTTTAAGACAAACAACATGAAAGCATGGATCCCTCCCACGTCCCACTTTATGAGCACACTTGAGAGTGTTCATACCAACTGAGTACAGAGCCATTAGAGTACAGTTCTTAAGACTGTACTCTAATGGCTCCCACTGTCACCAAATCTCAGTCCCACAGAGCATATTTGGAGCATGAAGAATTGAGGCAGTCCTGAAGGTCAAAGTCCCAGTAGTCACTAGTAAACTGTACCTAATAAATCGGCCCTCACGGTTGGTGGATTATTATCAATCAGCTGCAGCTCGTCAGTTCAAGGTCAGTTCCTGTGCATGTTTTTCTTTTTGTAGGTCAGTCAATAAAACCAATCAACCTTCAGCCATCCACAGGGTCCACGTGATGCTGCGATTCCACTCAGACAAGCACCACCACAGCCGAAGGCCGGCTCGCTTTGTGCAATGGCGAGTTCACAGAAATCAGGCATGGGTAACAGTCCAACCGCTGAGCTGATGCGGAAGATGGCCAGAGCTTTGTGAGGATAAATTATTAATACGTCTGAAATTTTTAAACCCGTACAATGCAGGGATTTTCTGCATATCATTTTGATCAAGGGTTTATTTAATTAAACTTAAATATATTTGTGCCAAAAACAAACAAAAAAAATACGTGTGGCTGAAATGATCAGGACCACAGCATCCCCCCGGATAATTTGGTCTGATTACAGTTTCCTTTATGTGGCTATCACTCTTAATATTTGTCAAATTTATCAATTGATACCAAAGACAATTTAAAAAATGTATTTTCTTAAGTCACAATAACACTGGGACTGCCAAAATTGCCTCATTTTGCATCAAAACATACAAAAACCAACAGTTAAGATTACTAAACACTTTAATTTTCCAAGACTAAGATTTTTTTTCCCCCATCCATCAGACAAACATCTCACAAAGAAACAATAAATAACAGATACAAACAGATACAGGGTACAGGAAGGAACAAATAAAATAAAATCTATAAGAAAATAATGGCACAAAGACCAAATACATCTTACAAACACTGACCGAAGAGCTAAGTGGAGCCAGAGATGGATGAGAACTATGGCCAGTAATGTTGCAGTGGCAGCCACTGTGGCTCCACAGTGCCGTTACATGGTTGTTGCAACAGGAACACATAAAGTATTTGGGAGATTATCCTGTTGATCAGAGAGATGAGAAGAACTTTGGCTCTAAAATCATCTGAATGATTGTGTTGCTAACTTATCCCCTAACGTCTAATAGTGAACATTAATGCGTCTGAATGGACCCGAGAGTGGATCTCAGATTTTCATCGAGCAGATTATCCACGCTTTAGTGTTAGCGGGTAGATTAATACCCCATACTGTTTACTGGCCCACAAACGTGTATGATGCAGTGGAAGAAATGTGAATATTTGGACGATTTTAATTATGTTCTTAATGCTTGTCAGTTACTAGGATAATCTACCAAAGCCTTTACATGTTCCTTTGTTAACAACTGTTCTTCCACATGTTAGTCCACTTCCATGGAGGTCAGCGCCAAATATTTATAGCCAACACAAGTTTATTCTACAGAAGCTTATGACTGATTTGGGACATAAAAGGAAAGTAGATAATCTAACATTTGCATCACACTGAGAACACATGTCATCATATGTTTTCATCTTAAATATTGTGTGTTTTCAAACTGAATTCTTCTGGCATTCTGGTTGCAGGACATTGATTTGATCAGTGAGCACAGACTCATAAATAAATCACTCTCAGTCACTGTGTGGATTGATGTGCAATAAACCAACAAGCCTCTATTTATTCAGCATTTAGCTTAGAGCAAATATCAAGCTGCAGACTATAGAACACTGTCAAACACACTGCCAGCTGCATTATTCATCACATCTTATTGGGGTTTTTATTTTTACATTACAGACAAACAAGCTTTTAAATCTCTGTTTAAGTATTTGTGGGTTTTTGCTACATGTTCAGGGGAGGTTTGAAACCAAAGAAACGGAAATAAAAACTTTAAAACCTCCACTTTCTTTTTGCAAAGAGTCCTACTGTACACAGCAGCTTTGCCCGTTGGCATCTTTGGAGCGCAGACACAGTTTAGGCTTGTAGTTCTCCAGGTAATGCAGCTGCTTGGCATTTAAAGCTCCACGGCGCTTCCTGGCAAAATGGAGGAGACATTAGGCTCAGTTTCCGAAATACAATGCAAGAAAAGGAGGAGCAGCAGAATCAAAGCTTACTGTCTTATTAGGTGCACCGCATCCTCGTATTCCATCCCACATTCAATTAGAGCCAGAGCCACCAACACGGGCGCTCTGAGGACAAACAAGAGGAAGCCTTAGTTAAACTTTAACCCCTGTATGTGACTGGTGGTAGACTATAACAGGTGACTCAGTTGCATTTGTTGGGGGTGATATTTTCCTAGTTTAATCATTTGCCTCCAAGAGAATTCAA